TGGCCATCTGATCTTCAGTAGCGAGTCAGCGTAAGCAGTTATTGATGAATGTGTGTAGTTTATTGGAAATCCCTTTCGTAACGCGCCAAATCTCTCAACCATCACATGGAAGCACTGACTTGACGTTGGTGTTGAAAATCCGGATGTTGTTCCACATGCTGAGTGGAGTGCGGAAGATCTCCATACTGGTTTCAGGCTAATAAACTCCTATCTTGCTTTTCCGATTCTGACTTTGACATCCTCGTCTGTGCCGCCTGTAGTTGAGACTGTGATGCCTAGATAGGTGAAGGAGGTTACTACCTTTAAGTTTCTCCCGTTGATGGTGACTGGAGTTTGTTGTTGTTGTCGGAGTTGTTGGTTGGGTATCTTCATCACCCCTATCTTCTCTACGTTCACTTGAAGTCCCGTCTTCGCTACCCTTCCTCTTCTGCCAACCTGTTGGTTTTTCCTGTAGGTCCTCAAGTTTGTGTGACATCAGACACAAGCCATCGGCGAAATCCAGATCTTCTAGGTTCTTTTCCGCAGTCCAGCCAGCGTACCCACCTCTTCTCGCTCCCCACTGTTTGCTGCATGATCCAGTCCACCACAATAAGGAATATCATGGGGGATAGTAGGCAACCTTGTTTCACTCCTGTCTTCACTTCACTTCAAAAGCATCACTGAGCTTCCCATTGTGAATTACTTGGCATGTGGCATCTTCATATAGTTGTTGAATGAGGCGGATAAAGGTTTGCGGTACTCCGTAGTATTGAAGCAGTTTCCAAATTACTTCTCGGTCGACGCTGTCAAAGGCCTTCTCAAAGTCGATGAAGTTGAGGTAGAGAGCTGATTGCCATTCTATGCTCTGTTCTATGATGATGCGAAGCGTTGCAATTTGGTCTGCACATGATTTGTACTTCCTGAATCCAGCCAGCCAGCCAGCCTGTTCCGGTCGTAGTTTTGAATCCAGTGCATCCTTTAGCCTCTCCAATATGATGCGGCTTAATATTTTGCTTGCTCTGGGTGGACAGGAGAGTGATTCCTCGCCAGTTCTTGCAAACACTGAGGTCTCCTTTCGTCGGCAATTCGACAAGGTAACCCTTCTTCCAATCAATGACCAAGTACCTTCTCTTCCTTCCACACCTTCTGCAATAGTGGTGTGAGCATGTCGGCTGTTGTCTCTACGTCTGTTCTCAGTGCTTCTGGCGGTATTCCATCTGGTCCTGCTGCTTTCCCACATTTCAGTAGCTTTATGGCGTTCAGGACTTCCATTTTCGTTGGGGGATTTATGTTCACTTGTAATTCAGCGGCTGCAGGTGGTATTTCTGGACGAAGTGCAGGTGGTGGTCGATTCAAGAGCTTCTTGAAGTGGTCGGCCCATTGTTTCCTCTGTTTCCCTTCTTTCCTAATTAAATTTCCGTCATCATCTTTTATTGGATTCGTCTGCGTTGATCTCTTCCCAGATAACCTGGCAACCTGGTTATTTGATGCAGTGTTGTCAGGTCTCTATCTCTCCTACCTGTAGCCTGTTCTGCCTCACTTGCCAGTGTTTCGTAGAAGTGTCTTTTGTCTTTCCATGCACTCTTCTTCACTTCTTTGTCCACTGTTTTATACATTGTGCTCAGTTCCTCTTGTCGTTGAGCATCCTTGCACTGGTTTATCTTCTCCTTCACCATCCTCCTCTCCTCTATCAGCTCCCATGTGTCCATCGAGATCCATTCCTTATCTTCTTTCTTCTTCCTTCCTAATACGGTTGTGCAGGTTTCTTTCCACATAGCTTTCAAAGACTTCCAGTGTTCTTCCACACAGGTTTCTTCAGGGATGTTCCTCGATATCTCCCATTTTGTCTTGATGGCTGCCATGAAGATCTCCTCTGCAGTTTCATCCTTCAGTTTCCCAGTGTTGTACTTGAACTGCGGTCTATCACCAGCTTCCTTGAAGGCTTTCAACTTGATTTGGAAGGCCCCTTGCACTAGATAGTGAGTGGTCTGAACCTACATCTGCTCCTCTTCTTGACCTTGTGTCAAGTAGACTGCATCTCCACTTTCTTCACATTGAGATAAAGTCGATCTGATTTTTAGTGTCCATCTGGTGAAATCAACTCCATGTCACTTTGTGGATATCCTTGTGCTTGAACACACTGCCTGACTCCAATCACCAAATCGTTGAATGCGCAGAATTCTGCAAACAATTCTCCATTCTCGTTCATTTCACCTAGCGCCTCTCGACTCATGGTTAGTTCTGTTCCTATTTTGTCCGCTCCCAGTTTGGCATTCATGTCACCCCACCCATTAAAATTTTGATATCGCCAACTGACGTCTTGTCCAGTGTTGATTGAAGTTGTCTGTAGAATTCCTCCTTTTTCTCTTGCTCTGCATTATTTGTAGGTGCATAGCATTGTATGATTGTGACCTTCCTTCCTTTTGAGTTGAACCTTGTTGTCATGATCTTGCAGGAGGAGATTGGTTCCCACTGCATGAGAGCCTTCGATGCTGTTGGGGACATCATGATAGCCACTCCCTCAGTGTGCTCGTGGTTGTCGTCTGGGTGACAACATTGGAGTAGATTATTGATTCTCCAGTTGACAGTTTGGAGAGTCCACTCCCATTCCATCTGCTTTCGAAAATTTCAAGCACTTCAATGTGATACCTCCTCATCTCGTTTGCAATCTGGGCTGCCTTGCCGGGTTCAAACATCGTGCGGACATTCCATGTCCACACGTTTACTTTCGCTTTCATCGAGAGCAGAGACATCGGCCAATTAGCTCCCCGAAGGCTTTCACCAACTAGCGTCATTTCGTCTCTCCAATTCCAGCGAGGAATAACATTGTTTTTATTTTTTATATTTCGTCTGCGCTTTGAAGTTTCCTTAGCGGTTAGATTTGTTTTACGGGGTAGGGTTGCTAGCCCTATGCCCAGCCTTCCCTCTTTACCCGGGCTTAGGACCGGCTGGTAACTAGTGAACTAGTGAACAGCTATTCAGTTCGTTTGCCATATTTTCATCAATAATGAAAAGTATGGAGTAATAATGCAAATTTGGAGTTGTAGCTCATTGGTTTAGATAGTTGGCTTTCAACCAGTACGTCGTGAGTTCGAACACCGCCCCACCTACTGAGGTTTGGACAACCAGATAGTATTATTATCCCTGAGCACAACAGGTGCGGCTTGTTGCCTTCTGTGGGAATATGCACCAGCTTGCTGAGTAAATTTCAATTAGATTTCGAATAATGCCAATTTAATGGGAACACATCATTTGCTCAACTTTGACAATAAACTATGCTTTAATATTTATTGCTTACCACCACCACTAGTTATAATATGTATGATAAAGCTTTGATCGAATAGCATCGTAGATATATTGGGCACTGAGTAAAAGGTTGATATTAGATATATTTTATATTTATGTAAGTCAGTGTGTTTGATATAAAGTAATTTCAAAGTTTACACAGGAGTCTAATCCGAGCTTCTCAAGGCAAATAATCAAAATCGAAATAAAACTTGGAGGTTTGGGGGGATTTATTGATTGATTTTAGGTTGATATTCATTACAGACTGATCTCAGAGTTATATAAATGAATCCAAGGACGTATACTTAATCTCCTTATCCAATTCTCTTCGTAACAATAATTCAGAAAAAGCAAGAAATCGTACAATCTCTTACCTTATTGTTACGAAGACAAAATTTGGTATTGCATATGGAAGGAAAGATTCATACTGTAACGACTGTAACTGACCGAAAAAATCAAGGTAGAACCTCGCACATAGGTGCATAGGCTCAAGTTGTCACACTTCGAAGTAGTACAAAAAGAACTGGTGGATGGAAAAAGAGTGATGTAACATAGTAAACAAAGTCGTGTGAGACCATAGAGAATCTGAAGACAACAGTTAGTGTAAATATTCAAGCTTTAGAAGACGTCAATGTGTAAATGCATCTGCGCCATTGTGACCAATTTCCAACCATGTCACCAATAGTACCCAACCACTGGTTCCTATCATCTCGCGAAATCTAACTACATCGACTGGTGCCACATCCTCTGACCACCCTGAACCCTTTTCCAACCTAGTCCAACTTCCAAGAGGATGGTAGGTTGAGGCAGGTGGTGGCTCGGCATGAGCAAAACATGTAGAAACCATCTCATTCGACTAAGATTCACAACTTCAGCAATTGACTTTTCTTTCCTGTTTAGTACCCTTCTCCTGACCTCAACATTGCTCACATGGTGATTCCACTAAACGTTAGCATGCTACACAGGCATCTGTGATCAAAACCCTGTAATCGCTACCGACTGACGTAATTCATGCAAGACAACCTCCATGAACCGGCTCTGATAAACAATTAAACTGAATTAGGCCATACATCCAACTATCAAATACTGTAATCACTTCACTTTCACACTGACTTAGCGCGAAAAAAAAGAATATTCAAAATATCCGATCCCAGAGACTAGAGGACAAGCAGAACCAGAACAATTATGTGCAGCTGTTCCCAGTTTGAAATAACTAGCAACAGTCTTTAACTACTCATATCTAACAGTAGTATTTGCCTGTGAAGCAATGTAACGAGTGCATATCACCAATCAAGTTCACGTGTTAAGAGTTAAAGCATATCTACTGAGTGATTACTACTTACTTACAAAAATATTTGTGTAGACAGAACAGGATCAGAACATGTAACTCACCGGCTGGAATTCGAATATCTACATCGATGAGCTGCAGCTCAATAAATATGCTATACAGTAATTTTCGGGGAACTTCAGCATCGCTACTGCATTGTAATACAATAATTTGAGAACTTCTGTTTACTGAATGTAGCTGAAGTTAATATTTGCAACTAACCTAGTTGGACATCGTTAAATCTTAAAGTATCAATATTGAAAACACGTACTATGGTACCTTAGTAACATATTTTTTTCACCTCAATAGCAAAAGAATTAACAGGAAGTCAACTACTTTTTAAAGGACAAAGATAGACCAATAAAAAGTTAGTGGACATTTTAATTAGAAATTTATTTGAAAAACTTACCTATAAATTGTACCAACAGGAGAATTACGAACAGACAGTTGACCTAGTTTTAGCAATTCTGAACCGGCATAATGTTCTTCAACCTCAACATTTAAGCCATCCACAGGATCAATAATGAGAGTTTTCGGTTCCCGAACAGTATGTACACTACGCACAAATATAGTGATATTTGAACGACTAATATGAGGAATTGGTTTATGATTATCAATGGCTTCAACGTGTAGGAAAAAGGCTTGGTCACTTGATGAGAAAGAATGAGGTATGTTTATCTTCGAAAGACTAGAATTCGGTGCCACACGTAACAGACCATCATTTTCATCAATAGTAAAGTGTTCAGCACCATCACCGCCAACAAGATAATAGTGAACCTTATATTTTATTTCAAAAAGCAGATATATGAAAATAAGCAAAGGATAGAATTCACTATGATGAAAGTAGAAAATCGATTGAAAAAGATTACATTCAAAAAGTCACCGTCATGAACACCATGTGATGATTTTATAGTTTAATGTCATAGACTTTATCATAGTAAATAGACGTATGAACCATCTATTCGACACCTTATAAAGCGACATAACGAATGTTTAGAATAAAATGATTGATTTCATAAGATCACTCTAACAACTACTAAAATAATCAACTCGGTTTCTTCATTTAACGAAACAATTAACTTTTCAGTTGAAAGATGGAAACTTAACCGTTTATTTTAACAGTGTAGCCTTTGAAGTCACTCCACCAAAGTTACCCGTGATATTTATGAGCTAAAAATGTCTGTTAGGAGTAGATGCTACTGATATAAGCTTCGAGAGTTATAGTATCTAGAAAAAAGGTTATATATTTGAGTAAAATGAGAAGAAATTTCATTGAAAAAAAACCAATATAGTGTCAGAGCATAGAAATGAGGATTAACGATCATAGGGTTAATGTGAGGAGTAAAGTCGAAGTTTGGTGCTAGTAGTTTGGATTTAGGCAGGGAACGTGTGACACTTTGTAAATGATGTTAATTGGATGGAGGCGATTCGGCAGGAAGCCCTAGATCTAGGTTTCGAGCTTTTTGGCACTCGTCAGCAAGGCGTACCTGCAACCTCTATAGAACTGATTTCCCGTCTGAGATTCGAACCCACGTCATCCAGTGCTACAGTCAGAGACGTTACCACCAATAAGGGTCCAGAGTTTCCTGCCGAACTGCGTCCATTCAATTAACACCTATCAAAGTGCATCGCGATATTGAGTCAACTAGCCTGGTGGTCACATGGCGAAATGATTGATAGACTTCATCCAGCACTTAAGACCAGACAACATGAGGCTGGCTACTCTCCAGTGACCAGTCTATGTGACTTAGCAAATGAATTCACAATATGCACCTGTACGTGCATCCATTAACATTTATACTGTCGGTAAATAATAATACAAGCAAGTATGGTTATATTCAATGTGGTTCAGATAGTACGTTGAAACAATCAACATAAAAGTTGCCAAGGTTAAACTAAAAAGCAGTAAACAAATTACTCATCGATACGTCCTACTATCAGGACAAGTTTCCGTTATTTAGCAGTGCCAAGTTATACAGGATAACAGGACAAAGAAACTGTGAGGATGCTGACCAATCATAATTTGTAATCTAGACTACGTGACACAGTTTATGGTATGAGATTAAAAAGATGCCTTGAAAAAAAGAGGTTTTGAATTATAAGAGCACCACTAATAATCAATTGCATTACAACTAAAACAGCCTAGAATGAAGGTGATAAGGCTCCATAACAATGAAATTGTTCTTACCTCTTATCTACCAAGTCAACTAATTAACGTAAGGTCGTCTAAATCCGGCTACAATTAAAAACGAATTATTTACAACTACCGAAGCTAAATCGAGGTTGAAATTAAAGCATATGAATACAAACAAATAATCACAATTCAATTACCAAGCGTAAATTCATGCTCTAGACAATATATTTTAACGTATCATATAATGGTTAACAATGTTACGCGACTAGGTAACAACATTGGATCAGGCCGAATTAGATCCCATATTTGACAGTTAAATTATTGTAACCCTGAAGTAGAGTTGCGCAATGAAGGAAGTCGATTATGACAATCAGCAGCTGATACAAAATGACAGACCATAAAACACGTACATGAATTATATACTCGTTTATCATTGCAATGAATAATACAGTGGCAAAAAAACTTACACTATCATTCAAATCTGGGTCATCGGCTTTAAGCTGTAAAATTAGTTCATTTGGATAAGTTGGCAAAAATAATGTAGATTGTAGATGGTATGGATCTGTAAATATTGGTGGGCTATCATTTACATCTGTAACCTCAACACTAATTCTTATTAACCGATCAGCAGTAAGAGAAGGTTTACCAGAATCAGAAACTTCAATCATTAGAATATAATGTCCTTTAGTTTCACGATCTAACAATGCATTATCGGAAAGACGTAACACTCCAGTTGAATTATCAATCACAAACAACTGATCATTTTCTTCCGCTTGTGGTCCAACGAACGTATAGACAAGTTTTGCATTTATACCCAAGTCAAAGTCAGTCACCTTCAAAATTAATGCTCCAATATAGCTTGTATCACAACTGATCGAATAATCTTCTAAACAATGACCAACGATCATAGTACCTGGCGATGAATCCTCAGAAATCACACCTGTCATACGACTAGGACCAATGATTTTCGGTGGATTATCGTTCACATCAAGAATTCGTACCTGTGAGATCAATAAAGATACATGGAATGAAGTAAGCACAAGATTAAACCACAAGAATCAAGGGACTCTAATCTATTAAAATACTAGATTTGTCATACAAGCAATAACAAAACCTATAGTCCCATAATCTTTAAATCAATATAACAGATAGTGTAGCCAAAAACTAATATATGAAAGCATCTAAAATTACCTATAAGTGAAACTGACAACTGACAACATTGTGATGAATTACAACAAGAACAAAAACTAATAACAATATAAACAAAGGCAATAGCAATACACTAACACCACATTCAAGTACACCTATAATTACTTATGAACCTATGATGGTAATACTGAGGAATGTTTTTTGTAGCTGCATTCGCGACAGATCGAACTTCACTGATGTTACTTTGGGGAACAGTTGTTGAAATAAATGATATATACATATACATGCAAGCAGTTCAAATGGATACTACGAGAATCAGATGTTTTTCGTCTTTTTCCTTAACGCTTCCGTAAACTCTTCTCTCTCCATCTAACTGCTTAGTCATCGAAACATAATAATTAGTAAAATATAGGACAAGAAAGAAAATTGAAAAATCTATTCTTCTTCGAAGATAGAAAAAAGGAAGAAAGCAAAGAAGCTTAGTTGTGAAAAATCAATGGTCAGTGATAAAGAATGCTCCCTCCTACACATAATTATGCATTTTCATGAGAGAGAAATAGATGGAAGTATAAGAAGGTAGGAAAAAATTTAAACTTTAGTATACATCCTTACTTTTACAGAAAGAATGAGAAGAAATGTATGTTTCCATGAAGAAAGACACTATAAAAGACAAAACGGAGAAGGAAGAGGTAGACATAAGAGTTGCGCTGGAATTTCGAGACCATGCATATTTCAGGTAGTCAAATAACCTAATTGTTTGAGACTATAGACTGTTTAACCACGATATAAGTGTATATAGATTTTGGAGACAAAGAGGATCGACAAAAGTATTTACATATACACTAGTAACATTCATGGCGAGAAAAAAACTCCCATACACACATGCAAATACACGCATATTTAGTCAGCCAGTTGGTCAAATGGATCGAAATGAAGCCCACACTCTACACAAGAAACAGGTAGCCTTAAACGCATTGACAAACAATATTCATTCTAAGTGAGAACTATGACAAACAGATCTCGACGAAACACATGTGGGGTTGTGGCTCAGTGGGTTGGGGAGATAACTATCAACCAGTGGTTCAAGGGTTCAAACACTGTTCCACCTACTGAGATTTCGGCGGCCAAGTAGTATCACTAGCCCTCACACAATATATATGGCTCGTTGCCTACTGCACAAATGTGCACAAGGTTGCTGAATGCGCATCATTTCTTTCATTTGCATGTTCAAATATTCTGGTCAAGTTTACGCACGTAACCCAAGATAGCACAACTCAATGCTTAATGCAAAAAGCAAGTGTACCAAAAACATTTCTACAGCGTATGCGTAAATAGGACCTGGAATGAAAACAATTCATTCAAAATAAATCCAGTTTGCACAGAAAACCAAGGACCGATCAATTTAAGGTAGTGAACTGCTACATCTTTTAAATTTTAGTGTCAGCTATTGACAGAAAAAAGAAACATCAAAATAAAAGGAACAGCTGGTTGAAAAAGTGAAAAAATTGTTGCTGAAGTCATATCACTAGGCGTGCACCAAGAGAAGCAGATACTTAAAAGGCTGTATGGCTTTGACACGATTAGGGGTCGAGAGCACAATAGAAAAAAATCACCTAGCAACCTGGGACCTGGTATTGCTGAGTGACCACATTTCACACCACAACACCAACGAAAAACACCAAATCGAAACAAACAGAAATAAAATAGCAAGCAGTCAAAAACCGCATGGCTCACATCAGTAGTCAGATTCCATAGATTAATGCCATCCTTCAATCTGGTCACCCCTCACTCTCACCCACATTAAACCTACTTCAGCTAATATTGGTTAATACGGTGGCCGATAGACTAACCGTACGCAACACATTTCTCAGTCACCTCAGTCGTTAAAGCTTCACAACTAAGTCAACTGAATTTTTTTCTTCTGCCTTAAACTCTACACTTTTCGTTTCCATTACTGGGGTGCTGGTTCACAACACCGTCGATTTTATGAAGGTGACTGTAATCAAACGTCTGAAGTCTTCAGATGTTCTCCATCTTTGCTGGTCATGTTTCACAGGCGTAAAGTAGAACGAAGTGAACTTGGATGCATTACACCGGACCCTAAATATGAGATCGGATATCATACCCATTTCATTAATGGGAAAGTTTGGAAAACGTCAATCAAACCCATTGTTATCTATGTCAATATTTCACGGTGACTGACCAACAACAGTTGAACCAACTTTCCATGCAAATGAAGTGGTCACCGCACCCAACCGCTTCACTCTCTATTGTTAGCCGGGGTACCGTTGTAAACTAGTCTTGGAGCAACAATTTGCATTTCTGTGGAGAAAACATCCCAAACATTCTCAAATTGTCACTCGATGTGTCCAGAAGACTCTGTATCTTGCCAGCGTCCTCACCTAACAGGACTATCACCTGTGTACTCTAGATTTACCAAGGAATCTGCTGTGATAAGATCAATCCATGTGAAGTCACACGACGGGAGGAAGACCTCTATGAAATAATTCAATGGGAATGGAGAGAGTGACGGAAAATAATCGATATACACAACTCACCTGACAACTCATCATAGACTCTAACAACCCTACGGGGTTTTATGGTACACAACTAGAAACAGATTGAGGTACTCACCTGCCATACCTTTTAATAAGAGACACTGTCATAAGACCCCTAGAAAGATGGAGTCGAATGGCGGCTTCGGACCAAGAAGTGCAGCTAGTGTCGGGCCTTGGTAATTCTGCCTATGTTCCAGAAACTTACGGAGGGTGAAGATCTGGTCGATACTCCGACAACCAAGTTTGAAACCTATCTAATTTTCTCAGACCATTTATTCTCAAGCTTCATCTAGAACTAGAAATATAAGACGCCATATCCATAGTAGGATTATTCTCCTTGCTTGAAGATTGGGACAAACAGTGATTGACATCAGATAGACAAGAGCATTTCTGATTCTCATACGTTAACAGAAGCTACGAGTAATCTAGTCAAAATTCTTGGACGACTGTCTTTAAATAACTCTGGTCCTGGTATAACTGGCACCGCTTCCCTTCCTCATTACAGATTACTTACAGCCTTCTCAACCTTTGCAAGAGTTGAAAGGCCTATCCTGCAGTTCCATTCAACATCCTATTGAAGAGCGGGTAATAAAAGACCGGCTTGAGGTCAATTGAACTGTTCTTCAAAGTGTTCCACACATCGTCTGAGGCGTTTTCCGTGAGAGTAGATCTCAGACCTATCCTTTTCTACCATGGTCTAATTAACCATTGAATTTTTTACCCCAATTTCCTTTCATCAGTCTTTGCCAATCTGCTAGTAAATTGCTTCGGTCAGCATACGGGAATGAGTTAAAGTTTATTGATAAACTGAGTTGCTGAAATTCACTGACCCTTTCTAACCCATTTCTGAAGATCAGTTTGTTAATAATACTATACAGTTAAGGAAGTCAATTCAGGAAAGTCGTGTGTGAACGTTTATGATGGAATCAATTATCACTAGGGTTCAATTCAAAATAAATGATTATCTAAATGATTATACGGCTTACGTAGTGATATAAGATTATAGTTTAATAAAACAACGTGTTTATGACAGTTGGATGAAATAAACTAGGAATGACAAAATAAGTCAAGAGAATCTGTTAAAATTATTTCAGATTATAAGAAAGAAGGGGTATCTACAGTATAGATTTAGGTTATCTAGGACAGGATATTATCGAATTTGGGGGTCGTGTATAGAGCCACGGTAACTTCAGAGGAATCACTTGCTTCTTTTGAACACGCAACTGGGGTTGTTTGATCCTGATTGCTACCGCTTCTAAAGTTTGAAGGATCCTGAACCAGGTACCTTTTGGCAAGTTGATAAGGATACTGTACAGAATGGAAAAAGACTCATTTAAATCCACTTTATGGTTTGTTCCAATCAGTTGCGCTAATATGGAGCTGGTAATGGTCTTTATCACACCTCTACTTAACCACGCTGGGAGGTGTTCGTGAGCACAGAAAATCAAATTCCTAGAGCAGCGGTCGACATAACTAGCTCCACAGGAGCAGTCGAACTGATAAACAGAACACAAAGTGGCCAGTCTAGGTAATTCATTTTTCAGTCTCAGTGTAACCATTAGAAGTGTGAAAAACAAAATTTGTAATTAACCAGCATGGAATGCTTTATTAACTTGTCATATCTTTAAACAGAGTCTTCATTCATATGATAATATCAGTTTCTCGATAAAGCATATTCTTAAGGCACTGATTTTCAGCAAACGATCGAAATAGATGAGCCAAAACTTTTATGCCGAAAGCAAATAAAAAGTACCATTTAAACATATGATATGTGATATGAATATGCACAATAAATTATGTCCGAAAAGTTATCTAGTAAATGATACTGTTTCACTGTATGACAGACAGTCCTAATAAATAAACAAAAATTGAATTGCACCATTTAAACAGTTGGGATTGATTGAGTGTATCAGTAAATTGGTTTCAGAAACAACTCATTTCCGATTGTCATCTAATGAATTTAGATAACTATGATAAATTTTTGTTTATCACAAAAGATACAACAAAAACAGTTCAAATGAACATGAAAAATAGATTGGAATACTATCCATCAGTAAAGTGAGACTATGTATACCAATTTATTATGAATATCGTTGTCATTTATATTTACACATAATAATGAGTTTTTAATTTTGATCTTAGTTTTTATATTATAATACTTAAACTAGATGTTATTAAAGTTGACTTCATTTTTTGTCACTATGATTAATACATTGACAATTTAATGCGTGAGTATCATGTTTAAGATGAATTGCATTAATACATCACGCATTTTAAACAAACCCTATCTCAAT